CCCCAGCTGCCGCTGGCTGAAGGCCCCCTGTCACCGGACTGAGCCCATCCCTGAAGAAGCTCTGGAGAACCCAGGGCAGTCTAGGGGGGGACGGTCCTCACAGGACCTGCTGCGGGATGGCTCTGCAAGGTCCTTCAGCTATTGCCCGGCGTTCCCACGGGAGCTGCTGTCCAGGAGGAGCCCTCCCAGTCTCGCCTGGAACCTGGGGTCAGGGCAGCTCAGCTGCGTGACACAGCAAGGACATGGCACAGCAAGGACATGGCACAGCCAGGACACAGCCTTGTGGGAGCTGGAGCCTGCCCAGGATGGGTCCCAAGAACCTCCCGGTCCTGTGGCCACGGGGCAGGGAGGCTCCAGGGAACAGGGCAGCGGGCTGAGGCAGGTCTGGAGAAGCTGGGCTTTGGGCAGCTGGACTGGAAGCAGCTCTGAAGAACTGGATCCCCATGCAGAGCCTGAAGGCAGGGAGCGAGGGAAGGAGAAACGGGGCAAGCATGGCCAGCAGCCATGAATTTACCAGCTCAGCGGCAGAGTGCACCTACCCAGCTTCACGAGAACCAGGTTTGGGTGTTTGGATGCCAAATCTCTCAGCTCCTACAAAAAAAGAGACACAGAAACAACCAGCACGAGGCAGAGGTGATGCTAAGCATGATCCCACTGCACCAGCAATGGTCCACCCCGAGGGAAACGCCTTCCAGATGTTGCTCAGCACTTGTGAGCGGCTGGACTGGGGACCTGCTGAGGCGCTCAGGCTTCTTCCAGGCTCCCCAGAGCAACGTGCGTGTGCTCGGAGCACAACACAGCCACATCTGCAAGATCCTACGGCCACTCTCCCAAAGGCTGCCGGGCCTCCACGCAAACCCGGCCAGAGCCACCGTGAAGGATGACCACAAACAGTTAAGAACCAGTTAAGAACCATCTCACCCGGGAAATGATGCAAACTGGCCAGGGATCCAGCCAGAAGCATCTCCCAGAGGCTCCTGGAAGCGGGATGGAGGAGGAATGGCTGCGAGTGCCAACATCAGGCTAGACGTTTGGGGAAGTCGCCTCTGGACCCACGTACCCCAGCCCCAGGATCTGCTCTGCTCCGCACACTACGTCTCACCCAGTCAAGTGAAATGAACCACTTTGCATGTTTTTATTGATTATTTTCACCAAACAGGGAGGATTCTGAAGCCCTTTCCAAAAAGGAAATGTTCAGCTTTATGGTTCCTGGCAGCTCTTTGCTCTGAGCCTTCTTCATCTACAGCGGGCACCGGGAACCAAAACACCGTGTTCCATGTGTCCAGAACCATTCCTTTGAGAATGAAAAGCCTCTCACAAACAAGCCCATAGAGAATGCTACAGGAGAAATACAAATTTATGGCTTGTTGTGAGGGACCCGTCCTCCCAGGACGTGGCACCAGCCTGCCAGGGGGTCACTCTGCCCTGGGGTCTCCTGTGGCCATGGACTTCAGCAGAACACCCTGCAGCCACCACCCCCACCCTCCCGCAGCTGGACAAGGCTTGGAGAAGCATCCCCCATCGAAAGCGATGCATGTGGACCACCCTGGGGGGAAACAGGCTCCGCTCCAGCCCTGCAAAATGTCCTCTGACATTCCCCAAGCCCATGAGTTGGGGGGGAAAGAATGGGGCAAAAAGAAGAGACCTGAGCTAGCCTGGACCCAGGTGGCTTGGGCAGGAACCGGGCAGCCCTGGGCGGCAGCAGGGTGTGTTCTCGCTGTGCTGGGGTCCCTTCTGAGCCAGAAGAATACTGGCAGCGGAGTCCACAAAGAGCATCTCAAGGACTTCCTCAAGAGTGATCCCTGCACACAGCCAAACTGGGAGAAAACGCAGCAAACGAATCGGCCAGGGTGAGGATTGTCAGAGAGCAAAGGTCTCCCCGCTGGTGTTTCAGCTGGTCACCGTAAGTGGAGAAAAACCAAAGCTGGGCTTAAGGAAAGCTGGAAGCAGGGTGATGCTTAGCTCCTGCGGTTTCCTGCTGGAGCGACACGTGTGAGTCTCCCCCATTCTAGCAAAGTGGAAAGCAATGGAGGGAGGATCCCATGGGGTCACCAGTTACTGAACCCCCAGATTTTGCAGAATCATAGAATCACAGACTGGTTTGGGGTGGAAGGGACCCTGAAGATCACCCGGTCCCACCCCCTGCCATGGGCAGGGACACCTCCCACTAGCCCAGGTTGCCCAAAGCCTCATCCAGCCTGGCCTTGAACCCCTCCAGGGATGGGGCATCCACAGCTTCTCTGGGCACCCTGGGCCACTGCCTCACCCCCCGCACAGGAAAAAAACGTCCTCGTAATATCCAACATAAATCTACCCTCTTTCAGCTTAAAAGATCCCAGCCACCCAGCGCAGACCCAGCCAGAGCACCAGCTGCAGTTCACCCAGTTCAGCCAGCCGCAGCCGCCCAGTCCAGCCAC